TTAAAGGTTGGCTAATAATATCCCTCATCTCTTTTAAAACTATGGGTAAGATGCCATCAGGGCCCTGTGATTTATTTATTTTGAGCTTATCTAGGCTTAGTACCTCAGCCTCAGTTATACATATATTGGTCATAGACGACGCTGTATTTGTACTAAATGGTGTCAGGTTACTGTGAACACCCGTGTAAAATAATCATTAAAGTCATTTATTATATCAATTTAATTTTCAATTATAAGACCCTTACTATCCTGCAGATTAGTCATTTCAGCTTTTAGAGCTCTTTTGGAGTTAAAATATTGGAAGAAACTTTTAATGTCATCCTTAGCCTCCAATGCAATCTTCCTTTCTACATTCCTCTTAGTGAGTCTAATGTTAATCTTTAACTCAACCTGTAGACTTAGATACTCCTGCTTTATTTTGAAATCCTTAGTTAATTTCCATTTGTGGAAGAGAGCCCTTTTCCTCCTGACTTTATTCTTAATTTCCAGAGTAAATCACCTTAGCTGCAGTTTCCTAGGTCTAGTTTTGCTGGAAACAGGTATGAAGTCCTCTTGCACTTGCAACAACATGCTTTTAAAAAATTCCCATGCCTCTTCAACAGTTTTACTGTTTAACTCCATCCAGTTTACAGTTTCTAGTTTCAGTCTCATTCCATTAAAGTTAGCCTTCCTAACATTGTATATTTTCGTTTTGGACTTTGCTCTTCGGACACTAAAATGAACCTCAAATTTAATCATGTTGTGATCACTACTGTCCAGTGGTTCTAAAACCTTTAATTTTCAAATCCTATCTTGGTTGGCACCTCCCCTGGTAGGGGTATTAACAAACTGAGTAAAAAAACAATCCTGTACTAATTCCATCATCTCAAGTTCATTTACAGAAGAGCCAGAGACTGTGTCCCACTATATCCCAGGTAAATTAAAATCACCCAGAACCACATAATTTTTATTACTCCTAATCCTGATATCGTCATATAACATTCTGCTCTCCTCTGCAGCTACATTAGGTGCTCTGTAACAAACACTGACAATTAGGCCATTTGAGTTTTTAGCATCTAGTTTTACCCATACAGCTTCTGTACTTTTATTTTTATCAGTGAGCTCCCTTGCCTGCAAGTTCTCTTTTACGTATACTGCAACACCACCTCCCTTCTTGCCTGTCCGGTCTCTACGGGACAACGTGTAACCATCCATATTATATTCTTCTCCATTATTGAAACTGATCCATGTTTCAGTTATTCCTATAATGTCGTAAGAGTCTGATGAAATTGATGAAAATCATGAATTTTGTTTCTAATACTCCTAGCATTTAAGTACAGACCGCAAAGGGTAGGCCTTTTACAGTGCCCACTTTTAATATTAATTGGGGCTTTCTGTCTCCCCCCATCTATATTCATAACTAACCTCCCTGCCCCCCCCAGTCCGTAGTTTAAACATTCCTCAACTACTCTAAACATATGCCTCCCCAATACACTGGTTCCCCTCTGGTTCAGATGCAACCCATCCAGCTTGAACAGGTCCTACCTGTTTCAGAAGGTCTTCCAGTGCCCCATAAACCTAAACCCCTCTTTCCTACACCATCTTTTTAGCCACGTGTTTAATCTCCTTATCTCAGCTAGCTTAGCCTGGCTTGCACGTGGCATGGGAAGTATTCCAGAGAATACCACCGTGGATGTTCTGCTTCTAAGCTTATCCGCGACTTCTATAAATTTATACTGCAGAACAGCCCACCTGCCCTTCCCTATGTTGTTGGTGCCAACATGCACCACGACCACTGGATCCATCCTGGCTGAGGCCAAAAACCTGTGCACACGATTCAGAAGGTCCCCTACCTGGGTACCAGGCAGGCAAGACACTGTACGGGACCCTCTAT